AGCCAGGAGTTGTGGTGGGCGCCCATAGTCCCAGCTACTTGAGAAGGTAAGGCAAGAGGAACACTGGAGCCCTGGAGTTTGAGGTTGCTGTGAGTTCTGACACCATGGCACTCTAGCCAGGGTGACAGAGTGAGGCTCTGTCTCAAAAAAAAAAAAAAAAAAAAGAAATCCTAAAGTGCACTAGTAAAGCATTACATGAGGGCATCTCTCAAGAGGAAATATTTCAAATTTAAATAGTTCTGGCATACAGTATAGTTTTAGTTGTGATTCCTTGAAAGCAAACTATAACGAAGGTCAGAACTCTTACTATTCCTTTTTGATCTCACAAAACTATTCTGGAAGGCCGTTTGGAAGACTATTAAGAGTTTCAGTTGCTTCTCTCTGATCTAGTAATTCTCCTTATAGAAACACAAGTTTTTACTGATACTGAGGCAACTTAGACAATGTTATTTAGAATAGGGAAAACCAGAAATATCCTCTTAACCTGTTGATTCAGCACTTTAGGAATGGTTTGGTAAATCTGGTATATTTGTATGATAGACTAATTATCAGAATTAGTTAGGGCGCCAGCCACATGCACCAGGGCTGGTGGGTTTGAACACACCCCAGGCCTGCTAAACAAAACAAAAAAATAGCCGGGCTTTGTGGCTGGCTCCTGTAGTTCCAACTACCAAGGAGGCTGAGGCAAGAGAATTGCTTGACCCCAAGAGTTTGAGGATACTGTGAGTTATGACTCTATAGCACTCTACAGGGGTGATGAAGTGAGACTGTCTTAATAAAAAACAAAACTAAAATGATGTGAATAAATGAAGGGAAAGAAGTGAAATCGGAAAACAAAGCAAAGGCAGGCTGAGTAAGGCATAGATGGAGAGCACTGAATAGTGTGTCCTCAACAAAATGCCTTGAAACCAGGATATAAGCTATGGAAGAGGTACTATGTGAAAGGAGAGGAGGCTGAAGAAATTATCTGCAGATTACTCTTAAGTGTTCACAATTAAAGAATAGATAATATTTTTACCACCGCCTTTCCTTTATACTTATTACTATTTATTCAACTTTGACATTTCTTCAACTGCCATTTTATTACTTGTGTTTATTACCTAGAACTAACTTTAGCATTCAGGGGTGAGGAACCTGCCGCCTTAAGGCCGCATGTGGCCTTCTGAGTCCTTAAGTGTGGCCTTTTGACTGAATCCAAATTTTACAGGACAAGTCCTTTTATTAAAAGGGGTGCAGCAGAGAAAAATGAAGTTTTTCTTGCCTCCTTTGGTACTTAAAAAAACAATCTTAAAATCGGAAGGCCACAATAATGGCCATAATTGCTCTTTAATTTTCCTATGTGTTTTTTACCCGTATCATCAAATCTAAGGCCCCCCCCCTTTTTTTTAACTGTAACATTTTTTAAAAGCCTCCTTCCCTTCCCAGCTTCATCAACTGACATTACCAAACTTACCTATTTTATCCTCAAAAACCAATGTTTTCCCAAGTTAGCCTTTGGACAGCTAAGAGGTCAGTCCCTTTTTGTGTCCCATGCTTGAGGCATTTCCCACCGTTAAATCAAGGCAGATGTTTATCTCCTAAGTAGAAGGCCAGCTTGAATCCACTTTCTGCAGTTCATTCTAATCAACCTCTTTCAGGGCTGGCCTAAACTCTCACCTCCTGGAAACTTGCTTTCCTTAAGTAACTACCAGGCTCACTGCTCCCCATCCCCCACCCCTAGCAGCACATTATTATGCAGTCAGCGCTTTTGTTCTGAGTTCTGAGGCTGGCTCTCTATTTGCATTGTAACCTCTCTGGGGTTCCAGGACTGTGCACTTGCTGTATCTGTATACCTCTCTCCATTGCTTGTAGTATACTAGTGGCCAAAAATATTGTTAAAATGCCTAACAAATTCACAAATTAGAAGTTCCCGTCCATAATATAGGGCTGTGGATGTGATGTATAGGGGGTTTCCCTTGTTTTCACAGCCCCAACATTGGGAGAAATGGCAATTTGCCTTTTTTTCCAAAGTAAGCATTTCCTAAACAAGATAAAATTTTTTTTATGACTCTGATAGCTAATTAACATGTAACTACTCAGTTCTGGGGTACAACACAGGCTGGTTTTTGCTCCCTGTATCCTGAGAGATTTATCCTGCATCAAATAAACCTGAGAGCTGCTTTTTATGCTTTGTGTTGATTTTTAGATTTTTCCAGTCCAGGCTTTCATGAATCTGAGAAGTATTTTAGGAATTGTAATTGTAGACTAAAGAAGAATTTATCAGCCAAATTTTAGGAAACTACAAGTTGTTTTTAAAGAACTATTAAATGTTTATTTGGTGGTCTGTGAGGGAAAAGTTTGGAGGTGAATTTCAATGTAGGCCTACAGGAAACTGAGACTGAGTCCAGGGTTTTGGTATTAATGAAAGCAAAATTAGGAAGCTAGTCTGTCCTTTTGTCACTCTTTTTAACTCCTACTCTACCTCCACCCTATTCAATTTTTCAGGGATCCTCAGTTTGCTTGTGCTCAAGTCTTCGCTTGCTGGAAAGTAGCTTTTTGCTCTTGTCACCTATCAAAACTTTTCCCATTTTGTTCAGGACAGGTATCCACTTGCAAATTATTTGTGTTTAGTAATTTCTTTTTAAATTTCTCTCTCTTTAAGGCTGCTTTAGCCGGACCTCCTGTAGACACCCAGAGTACAGAACTTCAAAAGTGAAGTTTTAAACATAGTGACAAATCCATGAGATAGATATTTTCCTAAGCCAAGGTACTTCTCCAGGGATAAGCTATGGGAGGTGGGGAAGGCAGAATACACATACACAAACATTTACGCATTTATGTATACAGTTTACATATACATACATAACTATATAATGTATTATACATACACACATATATGTAATGTACAAACATACGCACATATATATACACACATATATATAATGTATTACATATACACACATAATTATATAATGTATCTAATTATAATCACAATGTGTGATAGTTTATTAAATACTTCTAATTCTTTAAATATGTTGTATGTTTTATCTCTATCACATTTGCTTTGGGACAGTGGGGAAGACAATTTTAGCTCAGGGTGAAAAATGTTACGAGAGTGGTCTGCATGTTTAAATTCTATGAGCCGTCATTGCAGTCACTGCCACGGATACCTCAACTCCCTTAAGCCTTTCTCCTGATAAAACCTCTATCCTCCTTAAATTCAACTCACCTGCCTGCTCTGTAGCTACATCCAACCAGGCCAGTGAGGCTAGTGGAAAACAACCATGGTGTGATGGTGATGATGACTGGTCCCACTGTAAGTGACACCATAATGGTGCCTGGAAATCTTCCTGTGTACCTCTAGTTCATTCATTCTCCCGTTTTCTTAGAGGACTATAACATACTTTCTTTTTTTTTTGAGACAGAGTCTCAAGCTGTCGCCCTTGGTAGAGTGCTATGGTGTTAACAGCTCACAG